CCACAAAGTTTAGCATCTCATGATATGTTGTGGAATCCACCAATTGATCTATGCAGGGCATCGGGTAAGCATCCGTGGGGCATGCTCTGTTAAGGCTTGTATAGTCGACACACATTCTCCAATCTCCTGACGGTTTTGGCACGAAGACCACATTCGACAACCAAGTGACATAGGCGGTTTCCTTGAAAAAATTGGCGCCCAGGAGCTTGTCCACCTCGACCCTAAGCGTCGCCTCCTTCACTGGCGATAGGTTCCTGCGATTTTGTTGCACCGGGTGCCTGCCTTCTTCGACTGCCAACTTATGTACTACTGTTTTGGGTGAGACGCCCGGCATCTCCAGAGCACTCCACGCGAACAGTTCCGCAAACTCCTTTAGAAGGGCAATCAGGCGCTCTTTCATTTCACTTGGCGCCCCTGCCGGTATCTTCACCTGTCTTTCCGGGCGCCCTTCGCCCAATGCTACCAAAAGTTCTTCGTTGGCAGCTTCGGCTCGGGGTGCCTCCTCTGCCACAATTTCCATCACATTGACCCTTGTTTCGGTGCATCGTCGCTTCCGCCCAGTTTCTCTCGCGTAACGCGGGTGCCCCGCCCGCGGGCTACGCCCACTCCTTGAGGAGCGATAAATTTCAAGGTTTGGTGACAAGTAGAGGCCACACCGTTGAACAAGGCTAGGAGAGGCTTTCCCAGGATCGCATTGTATGGCGATGGGCAGTTCACTATTCCAAAGTCGATGGCGCGCGTTACCCTTTGCTCCCCGTCTCCCAGGGTGATCGGCAGGCGCACTCGCCCTATTACCTTGGCAGTTGCCCCAGAAAATCCGACTAGCACGGACTCCGATGGTCTGATCAACTCAGGCTCTAATTGCATGCAGGCCACCATTTCCTTGAATAACACGTCCATGGAGCTCCCCATGTCGACGATCATCCTCCTAACTTTGCATCCTGCCACCACTCCTTGTATCTCCAAGGCGTCCATGGATGGGAGCATGCACGCCTCCTCGGACGCCCTATTGAAACTGATATCGATAGCCTCCTGTACGTCGGCAGAGGGGCTCTTAGCTGGCGGTTTGCCTCCAACTTTTCCCTCAAATCCATCGTTCCAAAAATGGACTCGATGGTAAGTCGTATTCGCTCAGGCGCCTTCTCTTGGTCGAGGACGTAGGGCAGGGGTGGCAGCTCCGTCGCTCCTCGCTCTATGCCGGCCACACACGTACGATGTACCCTCTCTTCGGGCTTCTTGACAAAATAATTGAGCATCCCTCTATTCGTCAGGCCTTGCAGCTCATTTTTCAATTGGTAGCAGTCGGTCGTATGATGCCCCACCTCCCGGTGGAAATCACAATATCGGTCCAAGTTTCGTTCGTTGGGTTGTCCCCTCATGGGGCACGGCCATCGGATGTGATATCCTTTCTCCTTGATGTGATGGAGTATGTTCTTCAGCGTGTCATTGTATTATGTGAAGGCTTCCGCCCCCCTGGACGTCGGGCGCCTGGTATCCATTCTTCTCGGCTGGGGATGGTTCACGGGTGCATATCCCGGTCCATTCGGGGGATGCGGTCTCCTTATCATCTCAACTTCCTCTCCCCTCGTCCTTCACCTATCCGCCCTTCTGGCCGCCAAAGTTTCTTCGAGCATGATCACCTTCTGCAATCGGTGATCCAAGTCTTCCGTGGATACCACGTCCCTCTTGGTGAGCGCCCAGCATAGCTCCTCGCTTGTAGTACACTCATTCAGGCACACTCCCAATACTAACGGCTGGGCATCTTTTACTTCCAAGGCTACTGAGAACCACCTTTCGTAAAATTCTCTCAACGCCTCCCCTTCCTTTTGCTTGACCTTGAAGAGGGCGCCTATGGTCAGGGAGCGGCGCTTCGTGCTGGCGAACTTTGCCAAAAACATTGCCGCAAACTGCTTAAAGCAGTCAATGCGCCCCTCTTCGATTTGGTGGTACCAGTCAAGGACCACGCCCGCGAAGGTCGACGGGAAAACTTTGCACAGGGTAGCGTCTGAGCTGTTGTAAAGCTGCATCTTGGTGAAGTATCCATTTAAGTGGTCATCCGGGTCCGCTGTCCCGTCGTAAGTTGGGAGTGGGGGAATGTTGGTTCCCGCGGGCTCCATCAGTATGTTCCGCGCCAGGGGCTGCCTTACGGAGCATTGGCGTGATAGGCGCCCCAGGATTCCCCCGTTCCATCCATTGGTATCTGGACCACTGCGTTCATGTGGGCGCCACAGGCTTGGGCGCCTCATATGCCCGGACAAGCTTTCCGTCTCCGCCACCCTTTCCCTTTTCTTCGAGATTGGGCTGGGCGCCATTCCTTCACCTCTCTTCAAGGCATCAACCTCTCGTCGAAGCGCCTCGATCGTCTTGTCCTAATCTTTGATGATCCTAAACAGCTCTCTTTTTGTGACCGAGGCGCCTTCCGGCCCTCGAAACATACCATTGCTCTCCTCACCTTCGTCCATCTCGGGCGTCAGCCCTCGCATCCGCTCAGACTAGTCTTCCGTAATCTCCTCTCCCTCTCCACTCATAGGCGCCTCCTCACTCATGATTCTTGGTTATATTTTCCTTCCTGGCGCGCAAATTGTTTGAGCCGCGACGCCCCGCCAACACGTCCACGCCCTTTCGGTCCGGCGCCTGCCTACACACACAAGCACAGAGGGGGGCGCCTGGGCCTGTTAGCCCTCTGACGATCAAGTCTGTATCTTAGAGAGAGAAGTGCTTTAGAGCCAGAATTTTAGTGAGAGAGTCCAACCTGTGTAAATGCTACCAACTGCCCCTATTTATACCCACCGAGCTCGAGGTGGATCTCCTCCACCTCATCGTCACATTAAATTCTTTGTACTTTCACTTTTGTCAGAAGCCTCAACCACCTTGCCAGGCTTCTGACGGTTGGCAGGCGCCCACAGGCGGGGGACCACTTGCCAGCCTGGACTTCTTTGGCCCTTAGTCCTTTGTCTCCAAACCTATGTTACCTGGCATGAAGTAGGCTTTGTGGGCTTCCTCTCCTGGCCCACAGCCTTGGGCTACCGCCAACTGAATGAGCTCTTTCTTGGGCCCTCCTTCGGGCCCCTTTTAGTGGTACCCCCAACAACTACCATATTTAGGGTTGTGCAATAGGTTGGTCCGTACCGGACGGAATCGACACTTGGACCGGATCATATCGATTCGAATATAACGTGGTCTGATCTTTGGTCCCATTAATTTTATAAATATTTAAGAAAAAATTGACAAAAGTGACTTATGAACATGACCAAACCCGACTAAAGCGTACCAAATGCAATGTTGATCCGAAACTTGATCCTGAGATATCTTTCACTACTGAATCGCGATTCTCGTGAGTTTGGTTCGATGTTTACCGGACAGCACCGTTGCGCACTCCTAACCATATTGATACATTGGCTACTACTTTGTTAAACATAGGATGCAAAGTGAGTCATAGTAGTTAATGGCGCAAACACTATCCAAATTAGTAGAGTGGGGGGAAAAGGGGTGATGTATGTAAGGAGATATTAGTTGAGGGTCGAAACGTTAGTTGAATTTAGGATTATTAGAATGTGCATATAAGAGAAGGGTGGATATATATATATATATATATATATATATATATATATATATACAGGGCAAAGGCTAGCGTACGTCAAGCGTACGCTGTACGTCTGTGTTCACACATGGTTTTTGCACTTTAATATATTTCGCTGAATCAGAACCGTCGGTTATTATTTTTTAGATTGAATGAATCTTGTGGCTTGGGTTAGAGAATTAGGGACTGGGGTTTATCCATTAGAGGTTAGGGTATAGTATCATGTCCAAAATTTTGGTTAATTCCTGCTCTAAATAGTAAAACTCGATCGGCATACAATGTACGACTGACGTACGCTAGTCTGAACCATATATATATAATGATATCACTCTTTCACTTAGTTAAACACTAACTACTATATATGGTCATTACCTATATTAACTTAAACACTAACTACTATATATGGTCATTACCTATATTTACTAGTTAGTGTTTAAGTAAGTGAAAGAGTGATATCATTAACAACAAGAATGCATAATATATAGGATAGGAATGGACTAAGTTTAGCATCACCAACTTCGTTTCATGAGTAGTCGGCTTGAAGTAAAGAAATGGATATGATTAAAAGGGTTAGTAAGAGGGTGTTATCCAATCATATGCCAAGACCTTTAAGTTGTGCACTTTTTTTTTTCTTTCTTCTTCTTCGGTTTGGGCAGAGTGGGGGAAAGGAACAAATCAACTAACTACATACTACAACTTTGGAAAATATATGAATGTCTCATCTTTCTCTCTTATTCCCACTTCATCTCAAAGCCCATTTACAATGACATTTAGGTCAAAGATAGTGTGCTCTTCACTTAAAAAGAACGTTATACGAAAGTAGTAAAGGTGGCATAGGGGTGAACAAACACACTCGCAAACCGATCTATCCGTACAATCCGACCCAACTCATTTGTATTTATCGCTTAAACGAAAGTTTAGGGTTAGGTGAGGATTTTCTTTTGTACAATCCGCCTCTTTTGGGTTGGGTTGGGTTTGGATTTTGGATTACACACACCGTAGAACCCGACCCAACCCGTGTTCCAACTATTGGTATAAGTTCGTATCCAAAAAATATTATATTGTATATAGCCATACTTATGAGAAAATTATGATATTTCGCCATGTTTTTCTCCCATCATCTCCCTAATCTAATGCATTCTTCGGTTTTAAAGTTTGGACATAAATTTAATATAGCTATGATTCACATAATCATTTTTCTTATGTATAATTTTAATAGAATAACATATTATGGATGTGTTCGTTTATAACCTTTTTAGCCTATTTTAACAAATGTCGTGAAAAAACTAGGCATATATTGAAGTAAATCACATTTTATTAAAATTCAAACAACATTTGTGAATTTTGATACCTTTCACCTCGGTTTATTCGTTTGAAATTTTAATTAGTTATAAAATGTGTTTATGCTGTAGAATAATTACATATTTTGTATTGAGTTGGGGTTTTACTTAAAAATATCGCCAAAATGACCAACCCAATTAGAAACAAACCGTAGTGTTGTGATCTCAAGACTTATTATTAAGTGTGGGGATCTTATTATAATTAGCCAACCAACCCGTGTTTAATGTTGTTAGGGTTTGGATCGGCGTGTACTTAAGGGTCAGCAAGCTTATGTTAACTCCCAAATGGAAAAACCTAAGATCAATGATAGATCAGCAGAGAACTCACGTTCTCCGTGGACTAGTCCCGTTCTCACCAAACGGGGAAATCACGTAAATCTTGTCACTCGTGTTTTTCGTTTCCACACTATCGTTTTCTACATGGTATCAGAGCTATGAATGAATCCACGGTTAATATTCGCTATGAGTGATAAAGAGGATGGAGCTTTGCACAGCTCGACAAAGAGCAGCGGCGGTAGCGGCACTACTCAGGCGATCCTGTGGCCCTCTCCCTTTCTGATTCATAACTCCGACACTCCCAGTAGAATGTTTGTTGGTGAACTACTCACCGAAATCAACTATGGAGAGTGGGTTGGAGACATCAGAGACTCTTTTATTGCCAAGAATAAACTTGGCTTCGTTGATGGTTCAATTTCGGCACCGGAAGCCGGGGGCGAAGACTATGCTGCTTGGAAACAAGCTGATGCTATGGTGAAAGGTTGACTTAAGACCGCCATGACCAAGAATATTCGGAGTAGTGTTCGGTTCGCAAAAACGGCTAGATATATATGGGTCGATCTCCAAGCCCGATTCGGCCATGGTAGCGCGGCTCGCATGTACGAGTTGAAGCGCACTATAATTAAACTTGCTTCCGTAGGACAAGACCTCCATCGCCACATTCTACACAAAATTATAGGGGGCATTGGGACGAGCTCAGTTAGTTGGCTCCCTCTCATGAGTGAACTTTTGGTGGCTGCACGTGTGATGTTACGGATTTTCAATGCAATTTACTCTCGGTTAGTCGGCTTACAGCTGATCTTCTTGTTGCCTTAATATTTATGAGTAACTTCTGCGTTGTTCATGACTAACCATCTAGGAGGCTGATTGGGATGGGTAAGTACGTAGATGGGCTGTATTATCTCCGATTGGTTGATGGGCAGCATCTTGTGGCTCATACAGCTCGTCGGGAAGTGGATAAGACGGCTCTTTGGCATGCGCGCCTGGGACATCCCTCCATGGCCAAGTTGACAGTTTTGCAGAAGTACATTTCGACACCACTTCTTCAGTGGACTTCGCCTTGTCATTCATTCATTCGAGCTAAAAAAGCGCGTGATCCTTTTCTATCTAGTTCAATCAGGACTTCCTCTTGTTTTGAACTCATACATTTGGATATTTGGGGCAGCTGCCACGTTCCCTCTTTTTCGGGTGCTCGTAATTTTTTGACGATTTTGGATGATTATAGCACGGCAATTTGGGTTTATTTACTGCGGTTTAAATCTGATGTTGACCGTACTCTATTATCTTTCTTTCATATGATACAGAGGCAGTCTGAAAAGGTTGTTCGACGTATACAAGCAGATAATGGTCTTGAATTTGCCACGAACGAGTTTCGCAGTTCTTATGAGCAGTTTGGTATTATTTTGCAGACATCTTGCACAGATACCCCACAACAGAATGGCGTTGTCGAACGCAAGCATCACCACCTCTTAGAAACCACGCGTGCTTTGTGGTTTCAGGCTAATCTTCCTCTTGATTTTTTGGGCGAGTGTCTGCTCACCGCGGCATATTTAATCAATCGCATGACTCTAGTTAACACTGAGAATCGGTCCCCTTTTGAGATTATGTTCGGCAAAGACCTGAATTACCGTCACTTGCGAAGTTTTGGGTTCCTGGTGTATGCTTGCGATAATCGACATAGTCTGGATAATTTTTTTGATAGGGGACGCACTTGAATATTAGTTGGCTACCCTAGTACTCAACGGGGCTATCGAGTTTTTGATCTTGAAGACACGCACATTTACACATCACTGGACGTGAAATTTCTCGAGGATGTGTATCCTTACCACGTCAGCACTGATCCTTCCTCCATGTTCATGCATGCCACGTCTTTTCGACCTACTCCTGTTGTGATGAGCCGATTTGGGATGAGGACTAGGTTTATGAGTTCTCCTCTCCTCCTTGTATTTCCTCTCATCCCTAACCAGTTGATCCTTCTCCTCCAGCTGCCGGTTCTGATGCATTGTCCTCCCATAGTTCTCTGGCACGAGCTCCTCTCCTTCCGGTTCCCCAACCGAGAGCTCTCCTTCCGCGGGTTCGGATGGTGCTTCCTCTTACTCGACACCGCCCACTGTAGCCCCAGTTGCCCCAGTTCATGTTGTTGCGCCACCTCTTCGACGGGGTGACCGCCAGCGCAAGCCATCCGTCAAGCTCCATGGATTTGACGTTGATCTCCCCAATTTTGCTGGGCATAGTACAACTGTCTATCCTATTGAAGATTATTTGACATATCACCATCTTTCACAGGCTCATCATGCCTTTGTCGCCACGGTCACGAGTCATGATGAACCTCAGTATTTTCCTTAGGCAGTTAGTCATGAACATTGGCGTGCCGCCATGGTTGTTGAGTATCGCGCCCTTGAGACTAATGGGACATGGGAGCTCTGTTACTTGCCCCCTGGAAAGCGCGTCATTGCTTGTAAGTGGGTTTATAAAATCAATTTCAATGTCTATGGTACCGTTGAATGTTTTAAGACTCGTCTAGTTGCTAAAGATTTCACTCAGATCGAGGGCATTGTTTACCATGATACCCTTACTCTGGTTGCTAAATTGGTGATTGTCTGTTGCCTCCTTGTTGTTACTGTCAGTCGAGGATGGTTCATTCATCAACTTGACGTCAATAATAACTTTTTACACGGGGATCTCGATGAGGAAGTTTACATGACGATTCCTCAAGGCTTCTTCACTCCTGGTGACACTCGTGTTTGTCGCCTCTGTAAGTCTATCTACGGTCTTCGCCAGACTTCTCGCAACTGGTACCAGAAGTTTACGCAGTCATTATTGGACCTTCACTTTGTTCAGAGTCTTGCATATTACGCTCTTTTCACTTACCGGCGTGGTGCGAGCTTCGTCGTGGCCCTTATCTATGTTGATGATGTTATCTTAACCGGTAACGACATGACTTTTATTCAACGCGTCAAGGACTTTTTTCATGCTCGCTTTACCATCAAGGATTTCGGCGACCTGAAGTATTTTCTCGGTATAGAGGTTGCTCGTTCACCTCGTGGGATGGTTTTGAATCAACGCAAATATGTGCTTGACATACTTGCCGAGTCTGGCCTCACGGCTGCACGCCCTAGTCCCACGCCCATCGAGCAGAGTCACCATCTGGGTCGTGCCTCTTCTACTCTAGCGGCGGATCTTGCTTCCTTCTGCCGACTCGTAGGCCGGCTTCTTTATCTCACAGTAACTCGTCCAGACATTACCTATGCGGTCAACCTTCTCAGCCAGGCAGTCCATTCCCCGACCACACGTCGATGTGGTTGCTCGTGTGCTTCGGTATCTCAAATCATGTTCGGGTCGTGGTCTATTTCTTCCAATTTCGATCGATCTCAGCTAACGGCCTATTGCGATGTTGATTGGGATGGGTGTCCTCTCACACGTAGCGCGACTACAGGGTTCTTCATCACCTTGGGTTCCTCTCCCATTTTTTGGTGTACTGAGAAGCAGCCAGTTGTTGCCCCTTCCTCAGCTGAGGCGGAGTTTCGTGCTATGGCTGACACAGTTAGTGAAGTCTTATGGCTTCGGTGGCTTTTACGTGATTTGGGTGTCCATCTTCAAGGCCACCCCTCGGCGAATCCGGTGTTTCATGAGCGCACCAAGCACGCCGAGATGGACTATCACTTTGTTTGCGAATGAGTTCGGTCGGGTGATGTTCTCCCTCTCAAGATTGCTAGTGCAGATCAACCGTCGGATATTTTTACCAAGGATCTTAGCGTTGATCGATTCTCCCATCTTCTGATCAAGTTTGGACTTCTTGATATTCTTTCCTTCGCTTGAGGGGGAGTGTTGTAATCTCAAGACTTATTATTAAGTGTGGGATCTTATTGTAATTAGCCAACCAACCTGTGTTTAATGTTGTTAGGGTTTGGCTTGACGTGTACCTAAGGGGGAGCAAGCTTATGTTAACTACCCAACTGAAAAACCTAAGATCAATAACAGAATAGCCGAGAACTCACGTTTCCGTGGACTAGTCTCGTTATCACCGAATGGGGAAACCACGTAAATCTTGTCTTTGTGTTTTTCGTTTCCGCACTATCATTTTCTACACATAGGGTTTAATTATTATTATTTTGTTAGGTTTGGTTTTAATATTTTTCAAACCATAGTACATGGGTCGGGTGATTAAAATGGCTAAACCCGGACCACCCGACCCATGTACACCTCTAGGTGGCACCCTGGTGGGATGAGATGGGTCATAGGGATTGAGGTTCATGTCAGATTATGGGTTTGTAATGACTTGTTGGTAATTGTATTATGGGAAGAGTCGCGGACATGTTAATTATGAACAGAGAATAAGTTTTATATGTCACTAGGGACACAGATCATGGATTAAAATGAGTTGAGTCATATCAAATTATTGAATCAAGAAAATCAAAATCATTTCGGTTATGGCTCACACTAGTTAACGTGGCAAAAGCCTACTGGGAGGAATATCAATCACATAACATATAAATAATGACCCAGACAGGAGATGACGGGCGTACCTGGCAAAAGCTGTCAGAGGGATGGCTCACAATGAACGTGGATGCGGCGGTTTTGGCAGGCAAAGGAACGGGCTACAAGGTGGTGGTGCTACACGACTGCAGAAGCTTCCTCTGGGCGGCGGTCTGACGAGAGCGAATTCAATAGCCGCCAGAGATTACAGGAATTTGAGTTGTTGAACTTGGTCAACGGCTGAAGGAAATGCAAGGCTTCCCCCAAACCATCAACAAGACAGATTGCCAACGGTGTATCTCGCGTTGAGGAATGAGAAGAGAGAACGAGACAAGAGGCTAGGCATATACTGGACGAGATTGCAAACGAAGTCCAGAGAGTTGGACCGGTTCAATGGAGCTTCACCCGACGAGAAGGCAACCAGGCGGCCCATCTACTGGCCCACACCAAATATAATTGAGATGCTGAGGAATGTTGGGCCCACCTGCAATCAAATTCGACGCCAGTGGGGCTTCGTCCCCAACAGCCTTGTACCTCCAGAACACCAATGGGCCTCGCTTGGATTCAAACCTGGATATGCAACTCACAAGCCTTAACTATCGTGACAACTTTACCGTTAGACTATTTTACCTTTGATAGAGTGTGTGTTGTTTAAGTAGAGGGAAGAGGGGTGTTGTTCCAATATTCCTTGTATCTCCATTTTCCGTTTCCTTTGTCCTTTTTAGTTTGCAATGTGTACACGAAAAGAAAGAATAAGAAAAGATCAAATTCTCAAGAGAAATGGATAAAGGGTTGCAGAGAGGGAAAAGTAGCCGCCCAAAGAAATGGATAATGTTGTTGGAAAAGATGAGAACTTGGGTAGTAGATTGCTACTCTTATTAGACAGGTTGTAGTTGTTTGCTCGTGTACATAGTAGCTGTAGAGGTTTTTTGGGTCATCTGTTACGTCGTATGGCCCATCATTGTTTTGTTGGAATTTGGGCCCATGCAGAGTAGGGTACGTAGTTGTTGATCCCTAGTTCTGGCCAACGTAGTATAAAGAGGGAGAGTAGCTGCCGTTCTCTGTAACACAACTTTCTCGATCACAATCAGTAACATAAGTAGCTGTGGAGTGTTCTTGCTCCTCCGTGGATTAGTCCTGGGAAACCGGGGATACCACGTAAATCCGACTGTCCAGTTATTCGTTTTCATTTCCGGAACTGTTCAATTATCATCATGGTATCAGAGCTAGCCGTGACCGATTCTAATCGATCGTCTGTTAAACGCACATCGACGAACTATGCTTTGTGGGAGTTTCAATTCAGGGTGTTTGTCGAGGGTAAGGGATGGCTTGGCATACTCGACGGACAAACCCCAAAACCGGCATCACCACCCGCGTGTGCTCAAGAAATCGCAATATTGAAGCAAAATGATGCCCGCGTGCGATCGTTGTTGCTCAGCTCGGTGGATCCTTCCACCTGCCTCAGTCTCCGTCTCTTCCCTACAGCCAATCATATGTGGAGACACCTAGCATCGACATATTCCACTACAAATTCAGCCCACCAATTTGAGGTACAAACAGCCCTAGCTCGTCTTGAACAAGGAGACAAATCTGTTACTGATGACTCGGTATTTGCACATGTTTTCCCCTTTGTTTCTTGATTGTTTGAGCTTGAATTATCGTGTCTTTGGCCTATTTTAAGCTAGGTTGTATTCCTTTGTCACATTTCAGGTCCTAGCACATAAAGTGAAGCATAGGCGCAAGTTTCAAGTCAATCAGAGATCAATTGACGATTCGGGAGAAGAAACTCGGGTATGACCTGAATAAGAATGGATTTCTACCTCACATTGTGGACAAATCATCATGCAAGCTTGTCATGAAAAGAAAGAGGACGAGACTACGAGCGTCTGGGATCAAACGGCGACTGATTCGGAGTCCGGACGAGGGAGAAACGAAGCATTAAACAGAGGTTCAGCAAGCCACACGGGCACAACCCACACGGCCGTGTGACCTGGCCATGTGGCCGTGTGGAAATCACCGAGCCTTCACACGGGCAGCTGGGAAAGCCACACGGCCGTGTGGCCTGGCCGTGTGAGTCGGGAAATGCTGTTTAAAACCCGATTTTCAGCAAAAGGAAAGGGGGAGAGCTAGGTTTTGGATCCCAAACACCCAAGGGACGAACCCTAGAGAGAGAGCGCGACTTGGGAACATTCTTGGAGCTATTTTGGAGGATTTCTTCGCCATTGGAGCTCGGGAATCAAGCTTGGAGATGGAGATTGAAGATCTAGATCAGATTTCTGCAGTCTCTCTCTTCTCTATGGAGTAACTTCCCTTCACTTAGGTTTTGAGGAACCTTAGTTCCATGAGTTAGGATCTTTCTTGTATGAAGTTTTGGATGCTATATTGTTTGATTATAATCGAATGATGCATGTTTATTGAGTCAATTGAAGTCTGATCAACTTTTCCTGATTCCTGCTGCAATCTGAGATAGATAGAATCTGATTAGGTTGCTAGAGTCTCATCATTCGGTAGTAGGAGATTGGCTATACGAGAGTTAGCCAGTTTACTGCTTTGTACTGGAATCTAATTCCAGTAGTGGAGTTCTGTTCTTACTGCTTCAGCTTTCTATCCCGGTGAAGACTAGTCGTCTGCCAGATAGTTAGACTGAGAGGGCTTGGTCAGCTTAAGAGATTCCAAGCTACTGTCGGATCTTCCGCAGTTTAATCAACAGTAAATCAACCAAAAGGAATTACAACTTGGACCTAATTGAGGAGCTAGGGGGAATCATACCTAACTGAGTTCCCAAACTGTAATTAGTAGTTTTCCTTAGTTTAGTTAGTAGAGTAGTTTAGTTAATCAATTCTTAATCTAGTTTGCTAGATAATGAACTGAAGCTGAGTAATAGTAACTCTAGAGACCCGTGGATTCGATATTTATTACTTGTGCCACTATACTGCAGTCCCTTTCATTGGTTACACTTGGCCATTGTTAGGTGTTGTGTTTTAGAGCATCAAGTTTTTGGCGCCGTTGCCGGGGACTTTCTAGAGTATTAGGAAAGGCAGAAGTTTGTTACTTTAGCGTTTTTCTTTTCTTTTCCACCCTTGCTTTTCACTTGGGTGTTTTTGTTTTTGTTGGTGCAGATCTGAATCATGGATCCTAATGGCTTCTCCAATCATTGGGGGTATCCACCACCATCCGGGTGGTATTACCCCGCGACTCCCTACAGCAATCAAGGAGGAGAAGACTATGGATTCGGGTTCCAGTACCAACCCCCTTACTACGGAGAACAATCAGACCCCTGGGCATATCAAGAACAACCTCATTACCAAGAAGACTTTCTCCCACAACCAGAAGGGCCACCGGAGCTGGAGTTACCCATGGCGGCCTTCACGGGCCACTCTGCAGAGCCATGCTACACTTCACTGGAGGATCCGAACGAACAATTAAGACTTCTCGTGGAGCAGTTTGCTCGAGACACTGAGAGATCATGCTCCAAGATGGATCTTCAAATCAAAGCCCTTGCCACTTCCGATCCCTCATTTCTCCATGATATGGAGGAGACTGTTCAGCGCTCAGCGAAGCAAACAGAGTGGGTGAAGCAAGTTTGCTCACATCTTGCTCAAGATCACCTTTCTGCTACCACGCTAGAAGAGGTGGAGGATGACAAAGGCTATGGGAGCGTTGAGGAGCATACAGAAGTTATCATAGAGAACTCCCATGATAACCATGATCAGGAAAGTCCTTTGGTTGCAGACCACACCTTTCCTCATTTATGCTCTAGCATGCTGGGCCCGTGCGAGGAGATGCAAGATGATCCCATTGAAGAAATTGCTTGGCGACTTGCTCTCCAATCTGTTCTAGAAGAAGAAGAGCGAGCAAGGATGAGGAAGGAAGTTGTGTATGATGAAGAAGAAAGAAAAGAAGAGGTGGTTCTTGATCTTTTCCCAGGGGAGAGACCACATTTTGAAGAAGGAAGGGGGGTTCAGGAAGCAATTGGCGTCCAGGCTGAGGATGAAGTTGAGGTGGAAGAGGCATGCAACGGCCATGAGTTGCAAGTAATATCCCCACCAAACTTTGAGGAACTGCTTGGCAAGGACCCATTTGCAGTGTCTCTTTGCCAGACCAAGGCCACATCGACATCGGTCCCTCTTGGTGGACGCGATGGTGGTCGGTCGATGCTGTCATATCTGGTTTGGGGCAATGAGACGAGAGAAGAGAAGAAGAGGTCTCGAGGGTGGAGACTTCATCTGCATCAAGTACATGAGCCTTCATCACCTGCCACACCACATGCTCGTGACTTGAGACTCCACCTCATCGACGAGAACCTCAACTTCAAGGAGGTTCTAGCATGGACCGAAACTTAGGAGCCATCGTCCGGCTCACGACGTGAAAGAAGCGCTTGTTGGGAGGCAACCCAACCAGTCGGTTTGCATTTCTTTCTCTATTTCTCCTCGGTTGAGTCAGTTTTGTTATTTGATTTTAGAGTCAATAACTCAACCTTTGTGAGATTTTGTGTGGTGTTTGTGTTCTGATTACTCTCTCTTCCTGGAATGCACTGCCTGACCCGTACATCATCATTCACCCTTGATCTGGTAACTTCGTTCTACCCTCCTTATCTTTCCTTCATTGAGGACAATGTCGTGCTTAAGTGTGTGTGTGTGGGGGGGGGGGGGGGTTTGATTATGTATGCGGGTGAATGTTTGGCTGTTTGTGTGCTTGGAGCCTAGTCCACTGTCCAAATTTTTAAATTTGAGGGCTCCAAGTACGTGTTTCCTTGCAAATTGCCTGCTCAGTATGCTTTGAATTGACAGTCTCTATAGTAATGTGCAACCTAGGGAGGTAGTGTAGCACTATGGAGGATGTTGAAGTATAAGATTTTTCCTATCTAGCTCTCTGTTGTGCCAGTTGATTTTGTGAATTAGTGGAGCTAAGACCGTTGAATTCATGTGGTAATGGTGACTCTGTTTGGATTATGTTATGGACTCGTGTATCGAACAGGGTGCTCATATGGAAAATGGGAAGCAGTTGGTCCTCCATGTCAAAATCATTAAATCTTAAACATGGGGTAAACCCAACGTGTGCGGCACCGTTCATTGCACAAAATCGGGTTTTGGAAGAGATTTTAGTGATCCTTAGTGGGGTACTCCTACAAGGTGAAGCTAAGTTGTCTCTAGTACAAGTAAAACTTCCACCCGTTGAACGGTTTGCCTACTTGAGGATGTGTTTTTAAGGGCACGGATAGAGCTTCCGACCCCCCTTAATTTCATTGACCCTCCACACGAGTTGAGGAAAAGGAGTTAAAAGAATTACTCTGGCGAGCTCCAGATGTACAGAAATTGCTCTTGCTCGACTAATAAGGGTCGACCGTGCAAAAGACTGCAGTTGGAACCCCACCAAACGAAAGAAAAAATGTAAATGAAAGTGAGAAAAAGGGGTTCCAACGGTGAAATGAAGTGAAAGAGCACCCCGGTACAACGAATCCTTGGTTGTGAATGGTGTGAGTCCCTTTATCCATGAACTGACTGTCTTACTTCTACTTTTTCTCATGATCCTGGCTTGAGTCTAGTACTCGCATTGAGAGAGATAGGGAACGTCTTAGAAGACCAGTTGACCTCGTAAGCTGCTATATGATCTAGGAAATCCTCTACCAATGATCGGGGTTGTATGTTGCTATAGAGCTCTGGAGAGCTGCATTGGTTTGAGTTAGGTTTGCTTGGGGACAAGCAAACAGTTAAGTGTGGGGGGATTTGATGACTCGGTATTTGCACATGTTTTCCCCTTTGTTTCTTGATTGTTTGAGCTTGAATTATCGTGTCTTTGGCCTATTTTACGCTAGGTTGTGTTCCTTTGTCACATTTCAGGTCCTAGCACATAAAGTGAAGCATAGGCACAAGTTTCAAGTCAATCAGAGATCAATTGACGATTCGGGAGAAGAAACTCGGGTATGACCTGAAGAAGAATGGATTTATACCTGAAGAAACTCGGGTATCAGAGATCATCATGCAAGCTTGTCATGAAAAGAAAGAGGACGAGACTACGAGCGTCTGGGATCAAACGGCGACTAATTCGGAGTCCGGACGAGGGAGAAACGAAGCATTAAACAGAGGCTGAGCAAGCCACACGGGCACAACCCACACGGCCGTGTGACCTGGCCATGTGGCCGTGTGGAAATCACCGAGCCTTCACACAGGCAGCTGGGAAAGCCACACGGCCGTGTGGCCTGGCCGTGTGAGTCGGGAATTGCTGTTTAAAACCCGATTTTCAGCAAAAGGAAAGGGGGAGAGCTGGGTTTTGGATCCCAAACACCCAAGGGACGAACCCTAGAGAGAGAGCGCGACTTGGGAACATTCTTGGAGCTATTTTAGAGGATTTCTTCGCCATTGGAGCTCGGGAATCAAGCTTGGAGATGGAGATTGAAGATCTAGATCAGATTTCTGCAGTCTCTCTCTTCTCTATGGAGTAACTTCCCTTCACTTAGGTTTTGAGGAACCTTAGTTCCATGAGTTAGGATCTTTCTTGTATGAAGTTTTGGATGCTATATTGTTTGATTATAATCGAATGATGCATGTTTATTGAGTCAATTGAAGTCTGATCAACTTTTCCTGATTCCTGCTGCAATCTGAGATAGATAGAATCTGATTAGGTTGCTAGAGTCTCATCATTCGGTAGTAGGAGATTGGCTATACGAGAGTTAGCCAGTTTACTGCTTTGGACTGGAATCTAATTCCAGTAGTGGAGTTCTGTTCTTACTACTTCAGCTTTCTATCCCGGTGAAGACTAGTCGTCTGCCAGATAGTTAGACTGAGAGGGCTTGGTCAGCTTAAGAGATTCCAAACTACTGTCGGATCTTCCGCAGTTTAATCAACAGTAAATCAACCAAAAGGAATTACAACTTGGACCTAATTGAGGAGCTAGGGGGAATCATACCTAAGTGAGTTCCCAAACTGTAATTAGTAGTTTTCCTTAGTTTAGTTAGTAGAGTAGTTTAGTTAATCAATTCTTAATCTAGTTTGCTAGATAATGAACTGAAGCTGAGTAATAGTAACTCTAGAGACCCGTGGATTCGATATTTATTACTTGTGCCACTATACTGCAGTCCCTTTCATTGGTTACACTTGGCCATTGTTAGGTGTTCTGTTTTAGAGCATCAGTTACCGAATACTTTAATGTCGCACAAGAACTCTGGACCGAACATGATATTTTGACTGCTGCACTCCGTCCCACCGCCGCAACTGTCAAGATGCTTGAGGAACGAAAACAGAATCGCCCTCTTTTGTTCCTCATGCGACTCTGACCTGAGTTCAAGAATATCAGGTCCACTCTCCTGAACAAGGAGACACTACGTTTTGAAGAGGTTTTAGGCTTCTTGTGCGAGAGGAAATTTGCCTCCGTACCCAGGCGCAATTAGACGTTCGTCCTGGAGATTGTGAATCTGTTTTTTCTGCAAATCTATCACATATGATGTTGAGAGAAGGACAGGGGTCACATGGATATTCTCGTAGAGTACAAGAATGCCATCACTGTCACGAGAAGGGGCTTCTTATGAAACATTGTCGCCGCCGCAACTTTTGTGTCTATTGTAAAAGGAGCGATCATATTATACTCGAGTGTCGCACTAAGGAGAGGAATGTTGCTCTCTATGCTAAAGCAAGCCCTTCCACCTATCTACCTAGATCTGCACCTACTGTCCATGCCGTTGAGGGAGCTGGTCGTGGTGTAGTGGAACTGGCAACATCATCAGTTGAGGAGCTCGTTCAAGCTGCCCTTCAAAAGACTCTCCCCAATGCAATTAGCGTTGCTTTTTCCACTTTCCAAAGCTCAGGTAAACCGCCACCTAAACCTTGGATAATTGATTCGGCTTGCTTTAATCACATGACCCAAGAGAATAGTTTGCTTAAAGATACCCGACCTATGAACAATCTTGGGTTAATGGTTGAAAATGGAGCTCAACTGAAAGCTAAGGGTATTGGTAGATTATAAGAGGCCCAAATCACTTTGTATAATACTTTACATGTACCTAAGTTAGTTCCAAACTTAGTTTCTGTTGGACAACTTACTGAAAAAGGATGTTCTGTTGTTTTTGCTCCCACTAGATGTGTTGTGCAGGATTTGAAGACGGGGAGGCAGATCGTAGGGGGGAGTAAGTAGGGGAGGACCAGTCCACCAGTCTATGTCTAGGTCTGTCAGTAGTCCAGTTTTTTCGAGTCTTTCCAATAATCCGTGGGATCTCTGGCATGCTCGTTTGGGGCATCCACAATCCGGTCGTCTGTCTTTGATGTTTAATCAGTCTCTTCTTGGTAAACTTAACATTAGTGCTCCTGTTGAACACTTTTGTACTAGCTGTGTTGAAGCTAAAACTACTAGCATTTCCTTCCCGTCTCGTACCACTGTCATACATGAACCATTTCATTTAGTTCATACTGATCTTTGGGGCCCTGCTCCTGATGTTTCTCGTCGTGGTTATCTTTACTTTGCTTTGTTCATTGATCATGCTACCCGTTTCTCCTGGATATATTTTCTTCGTCTCAAATCTGAACTTCGTTCTGTTGCTGAAGAATTTCTTAACATGATACATACTCAGTTTGGTCGTACTGTTAAGATTATTCGTTCTGATCCGGGTGGAGAGTTTAGCTCTCACCCTTTACATGAAGTGTACAAGTCTCGTGGAATTCTTAGTCAAATGTCGTGCCCAGGAGTTTCTCAACAAAATGGTTTGGTTGAACGGAAAAATCGCCATGTTGTTGAGCTTACTCGAGCATTACTTTTGGCTTCGCATGTTCCTATCCGTTTTTGGCCTAAGCTGTTGCTACAGTAGTGCATTTGATTAATTATCAAATCACTCCTGTACTTCAGCAAAAGAGTCATTTCTTTAAGCTTTACGGTCGTCATCCTGACTATTCTCGGCTTCGTGTTTTCGGGTGTCAGTGTTTTGTTCTTCTTCCAAAGAGGGAAAGAATGAAATTAACCTCTAAAACTGCTAGTTGTGCCTTCCTCGGATATAGTGGTGTTCATAAAGGATATCTTTGTCACAATCCTGTCGTTCAACTTATTCGTATAGCCTGCTCTGTTGTGTTTTTTGAACATGTCATGTTTTTCGGGTCTTCTTCCACTGTCTCAGACTGTTTATTTCCTTCGGCCAAACATTCCTTCCTATGTTTGGTGATGATGAGGTTGAGTCTCCAAATGATCCAGATCCGCCTCCTTCTCCTCCAAATCTGTCTCCCACTGTCGACAATTCTACAGCAACAACTACTTCCTCTTCGTTCAGTTCGTCCAGCACCGGGTCACCAACAGCAACAACTTCTTCCTCTCCGTCCAGTTTTTCTAGCACCGGGTCACCCTCCCATGCAGAGACGTCCTCGCCATCCACCTCGCATGCATCTTCCACGACCAGTCCTGCTGCTCCAAATAATCCCCAGCTTCGACGTTCTCATCGTGCTACTAAGGGTGTACCTCCTCTCTATTTCCAATACTTTGTTGCCCATGGTGTTTCTCCTCTCATGACACCAACCCGATACAAGCAAGCATGTGGCAATCCAGTTTGGGACACATGCATGCAAGAGGAATTCAATGCCTTACACGCAAACAACACATGGACTATGGTGGATCGTCCAGATCCGTCTATTCTGGTCATTGGGTGTCGCTGGGTATACACTATTAAGATGACTCCAGAATGGTGAAATCGAGCGAAACAAGGCGCGATTAGTTACTCTCGGCTATACTCAAGAGTACGGGGTTGATTGTACGGAAACTTTCGCCCCGGTTGCGAAGATTTCAACGGTGAGGATTCTTCTTGCAGTTGCTGCCCTTCAGAATTGGCCTCTGTATCAACTTGATGTCAAGAATGCGTTCCTGCATGGTGATCTCGATGAGGTTATCTACATGGAACGACCTCCAGGATATAATGTCGGGGAACCTGGCCAAGTGTGTCGTCTTCATCGATCTCTTTACCAAACAGGCTCAAATAGGCTCCACGAGCTTGGTTTGAGAAATTCCAGTCTACTCTTTTCAGTCTTGGTTGTCGGCAGAGCCTCAATGATCCTTCACTCTTTACCAAGGTAACCCC